AAAAAAAAAAAAAAAAAAAAAAAGGTAAACTCACCCGTCAGATCAAATAGCTTTCTAATTTTTGCGTCCGAATAATCAATTCTAGGCTTTACCTCAGGTAAACAAGCTTGACTGTTTATAATATTTTGGTTTTTATGTAATATTTTTCGTTTTTCCGAATAATCAATTCTAGGCTGTACCGCAGGTAAACAATCTTGATTGTTTATAATATTTTGGTTTTGATGTAATATTTTTCGTTTTTTTGGGCTTATGTAACATCCACCATCAGAAGAAAATCCAGAAAGTTTCTTCGAAGTGTTAACCGAAGAAAATCCCAGTAAACTTCTTGGATCTTTACAAACTTCATCATCATCGTCAAAAAGACCTCGTATTCTGTTAATTGATTCCTCGGAAAGTGGATTTATATGTCGTCCACTTCCAGAAGAAAACCCAGAAAGTTTCATCGGAGTGCTAACCGAAGAAAACCCCAGTAAACTTCCTGGATCTTTACAAATTTCTTCATCATCGTCAAAAAGACCTCGTATTCTGTTGATTGACTCCTCGGAAATTGGATTTACATGGCGTCCACTACCAGAAGAAAACCCAGAATGTTTCTTTGGAGTGGTAACCGAAGAAAATCCCAGTGAACTTCCTGAATCTTTACGAATTTTATCATTATCATCAAAAAGACCTCGTATTCTGTTAATGGATTCCTCGGAAATTGGATTTATATGTCGTCCACTTCCAGAAGAAAACCCGGGAAAAGCACCATCCATATTGTTATTTGATAATACAGTAATACGCGAAACACATTTTATTGTCGCGTAACTGAAGTTCGTTTTTATTGGCTAATAAGCAAGAATTCTGATTGGCTAAAGATTAAACATTGGTTTATTGCTTTACACTACGTAGTCGATATAAAAATTCATCATAGTAATAATTGTGGCAGATCAGACCATAATGTAAATTTAACTTATTTTATGTCAGATTTTTAAAATTTTTTGGGGCCTTTTTTGTTAGTTTTTTTTTTTATAGTTAAGTTAGGGTTTAGGGTTAGAATTATTAGAAAAAGAGTATAGGTGGATTTTTGGTAGCGGTAGGGCTTATATGATTAAATTAAGACCCCTAAATTTCACAATGATCTGATTCTGCAACAAAATCTTACATAATGTAAAGCGCTGCACTATGATACTAAATCATTTGATGTGCCCCCAAAGGACGAAATGAATTCGGGACAACTAAAAACCGAAGAGATTCGGTAAACGAACAAAATTTTAGGATTTATGAAAATATAACTAACGAAGAATATTTTGCCACCTGAAAAAATTTCCTCGATCCCGTCCTAAGAATCACCTAACTTTTTGGAAACTATCAATACAGACAGTGACATAGTTTTCGAAGTTAGATGATTCTTAGGTGTCCCAGAATTTATGGAAACAGTTGTAACTCTTTTTTGCGGATGCATTATCAGTTATTCAGAATACTTGAGGTACGTACGAACGTATTTTGTGGAGTGTAAGATCTTGAATTTCAAGATATCAAATAATAAACCAGAGCCAGAACAGTATGCTTATGTAAATAAAATAGCAGTAAAATGAAAAAAAAAACATCACAAGTTATGACTACTTCAGTACTTAATTTTGTGACTTAACCGATCGATGATAAAAAAAATCTTACCATGAAGCAGGCACTAAACAAGTCTTTATATTACAATGTTTGAATAAAATATAAGCTCAAAAATAGCAAAATTTCTACAAGTCATCGAGACAATAAATGTAAACGCACTTGTTTTTATTATAGAAACTAATCAATGTCTGAGATTGGGTTAAAATACCATAGGGCTTTTTTAAACTTCTAAAATCCATAACTTATATAATTTATCGAGATGTGCAAATAATGAAAAATTTTATTTCATTTTAATTTATTATAATTAATTTAAATAATAATTAATGCTAAAATAACATTATATAAGATAGTAATTAAAATAAATAAATAAATAAAAAAAAGATAATAATTTCTAATTTTCACTGGAGGGGAAATTTCAAAACCAATTTAATATTAAATTAATAAATTTTTAAAAATTGTAATAACCCTACTATAACTACTAATCTAATCTGAACCATAACTAATAAACTAAATATGATCCTAATCCTAAATTAAAATTCGACCCTATCTGCTATCGTCACTTAACAAAATTCACCATTGTAATAAACTTCCTATTTTAGCTAAAGAAACATGCGCTTTTCACAAATAAGTTAACCGTCACCTATTATACATCAGATAAACAACAATACGTACGAATAAACATAAACGATGACACAAAACAAACAACGACGATTACAGGAAAACACCAATGACTTCACCAAAAACGACGACTACAAATGAAAGTGAAGTAACAAAACCAAAACGAACAACAACAAATGGCGACACCAGCAAATGACGTAATAAAGGCGAAAAATCCAACAAACGACAAAAATGAAATAACAATAAATGAACCAAAAAATGATGACACCAGCGAAACGAAGTAATTAAAACGAAAACTCCAACAACGATAGCATCAACCAACGACGACACCTGAAAATGACGACGCCAAAAACGACGACTATACAGTAAAACGTAAGTGAAGTAACAAAACCAAAACGAACCACCAACAAATAGAGACACCA